TTGATCGTGCCCTATCCTATAATAGTTCTCAGGACTATGGGGATTTTTTTTAGCTGTTAAAAATCATTACTGTACTTATATTCTGTCCCATATATCTTTCTGTTGGCATTGTGCATGTTACTAGAAGTCGAAGGGTTAAGGGATAAACAACTGCCCTCCTCCCCCTAAAGGAAAAACCTGCAAGTACTTAGATGAAAACAAAAGATAATTGTTTTTCTTTCAGGAGAACACACACTTGATTTACTTTTGTTGGATTTTTGTTTTGGCAGATTTCCAGCAGTATGCTAAGAAAAGATGACGATGATGATGAGGAAGAGGAGGATGAAGATGAGGAGGAGGAAGATGAAGATGAGGATGAGGAATTAGATGCTACTAAGGAAGTGAGATAACAAAACTGTTCTAAGAGTCTTTTTATTTTGATTGGGAAAAAATATTTCTGTTTATGTAAAGGCTTTGTATGTTAAAAACTTAACTGAGGCTGTATTTTTAAAATTCCAACAGGAGCAAGAATTGGCACTAGTAGTAGAGTGCCCGAATAACAAATGACCAGTTTCAAAGAACAGAACAAAATCTGCTGAAAATGGACAGTTTCAGTAGCTAGAAAATGAAATATTTAAATAGAATCGTGTATTATATTTGCATAGATGTTATACTGCAGTCACATTTGCTTAAACTTACATGATGAACAGTGTCCAAAAACTGCACTAAGCTGAGAAGCAGTTATGAACAGAAGGGTTTCCTTGTTACTTTGCCAATATATTACCTTATTCTCTCGTTACACACCTCTTGGATTTATTAAGTACTCTAGCTATACCTGTCATAAGTGCTTTTATATATCCTGAAGTAACTGCAGTAGTCAAGAAACCGCTTACAGCAACAACCCTGTTAGATTTCATTTTGTTACCCACCCTGGACGGCAGAAGGCAGGGCAAGGTGTATCGTTTTCTCATTCTCATTTACCTTGGGCTTGACTAAGAAGACTTTTGATTCCTTCACACATACAGAATGAACATTCACAAATAAGGACCTAGCCCAAGATCTACTTTTAGTGCTGCTTTGCTTTCAAATAAAAGTGCCTTCATAATAAAACTAGTTGATATTTTATATAGTTCACAAGTTTCATGTGTTTAACTGGTTGATTCAGTTAACTGATTCCATCAAACATATAAGAAATTACATATTTTGAGTGCAATTTCTTACCGTTTGGAGACGGTGTTTATGCGTGTTCATTTTTTAATAGCATACAACTGTCTGCTAGAAAGCTGCTACCATATTGTTTATCTCCAGCTTTAGTATCCGCTAAAGAAAGAACACATGTATAAATCTAGAATTTAAACTTGTAACTGGGAAAACAATCTTAAGTTATAACCAAATATTCTTTCAGTTACAGAAATAAACCAGCAAGTGCATTTTTAATATTGATGCTACCTTTGTCCACTGATGCAAAGTACTTGTTTTGACAGGTGAAAAAACAGGTTTTGCCCAAAATGAATGTTGTGAAAATATAAGTGAAAATGTCACAATATAGGGTTTTGTTTTAAAACCAGAAAATAGTTTTACACCAGAATTACATACTATTGACATCGAACTACTGTTGACAAGGAGCAGAATAGTAATCACCAAAACTTAAGAAGTATCTAGGTAACTAATTCTATCTATTTCAGCGAGTAGGACACTTCAATAAATATTTGTATCACAACATCAGACTTATCATGATCACCACTTTGCCATTTCATATTCAGTGAAGTCATGTAGTCCAACTCCAAAACACATAGTTCATGACTATACCGAGTTTTCATATAATACACATATATGCAAATAGTGATTATTTCTGTACTATGCCTTGAAAAAGGAATTCTGAATAAAAAAGGAAGCAGTGTTTAGATTAATTCCCACTAAAACATTAGTAGCTAGGGTACAGAAATAGATTATTTTTTTTTCTCAGCAGCTTCAAATTCCTTCTCCTCCCCTACCTTACAAAAAAGTTGACTTTAGGAATTACAAAAAAAAAAACTTACAGAAAGGGAGAAATACGGTGTTGGACAACTTTGTCTTGCATATATGATGTCCTAAGTTTGCATGTTGGACGGAAATTGTGTGACTTTGAAACTATAGATTAAAAAGTCACCGATTAAAGTATTTTAAAGCCAGAAGAAGAGTTTAGAATGTAATTACAGAATTAAATACTACCTAAAGATACTTTTGCAAATATTTTTCTCATGGCTTAAGTGCTTGCTTACTGCAAGACTGACAGGACTCCATTTGCTCATGTATTTTTTTGACTACTGACACCTAGATAATGCAGGCTTGTATCCATTCTTGCTAAGAGTATTTTGCCATTCCATTGAACATGCCAGCCCATCCCTTTGGGACTAAGGATTATCTTCTTCTTCTCATCAGGTTCTCCTGTTACAGCTATCCTGAATGCCTCAAGCTGCTTCTGTATGTGATCACTATTACTAGTTTTTCATGACAGAGACTGTTCCCCTTTAAATCATAATTTTTGGACAATGGTAGCAAAAGCAACTTCAGAGTAAGCATAACTAAGGAAACTAGCTATATTTTATATCAGCACCACAAACTGCAGCATTTCATTTGTTATTCTTTTACTCTATGGATGGTACTTGAAAAGGAAAAGCAGTAAGTCAAGCCATGCAAGTACAGCCTGTCTCTGATCTGTCCTTTATACTGCAAGTACAGTGCCTCCAAACGATTAAACATCTAAAGTTATAAAACCCTGTTATCAGGAAATGCTGTCACCACACCATGCACCTGAACCACCTGTGAAAGGGCACGGAATCAGAATATAATGCCTATATATATGCATACACATCCCAATTGGGGGGAGGGGAGGGGAACCTGAAACACCCACCAAAACCTACTAGCAAGACAACAGCTATACTGAGAATTAACTATCCTGTTAGCCTTATTATTTAACTGAGGTACTGGCATCCCTTCCCAGTTTCCCTGTGCTTCAAATCATCTGTGCATACTTTGACATACAGCTTTTGTCTATAAAGACCTTTAAAAAAAACGACTTTTTTTGGCCTATCAATCAGACATCTCAGATTAACCTAGACTAGTCATGAACTCTAATCTGGCTTTAAATTAAAGGCAAATTAGCTGTAGAGCAAACAAAAAACAGTTTGAAATGCCTTAATTATGAAATTATGATCTCTGCCATTATAAGCTTTATGACTCTTTTTATGTATTCACTAAGGGGGAAAAAAGTTTACCATCCCAAAAATTAATGGTATTTTATCAGCAATTACTCTAACTTCCTTGAAAACAGACAATGCTTTTTGTAAAAGATACTCTCACACTTAACTGGCAGAAAACCTACTAAACTCCCCTATCTTTCCAGCCTCCAGATCCTTTTTTTCACTACAAGAATTCACATGTGTGTTCAAGGCTACTCTAGAAGCATGGTAAAAAGTTTACCAATTTCTTTTCAATGTTTGAAATCTCCTCTTAAGAACTTTAAAACCAACAAATCATCTAAAGCTGATTAACTGGAGAAGTTAGCTGCATTCACATTTACAACACAGCCAATAATACAGAGGTGAGAATCAGTAGTAAAGGTGATGTTAGCTTACAAAAATAATTACGAAGTTTTCAACCACATGATTAGGTCAGACAAGTTTATTTTGAGGATTCTCGTAACACATCTTTATTTTCCCTGCAAAGGCTTTTGACTCATTGGATCTCTTTTATAGCAGCTATGAAATAAAAGCACCAATTTGTTGGGTTTTATTTTAATTCCATTTAAATTCAGGGGAGGATTCAGAACAGTACGCATCTGAAGCTAACTCCTACCTGACAGCAAAAAACAGTATGTAAGTGTTCGGAATTTGAAAACTTGGCCACATTTAAGTTTCTTTGCTCAGAGGTGTCTACATATACAGACTTGACATTATCATTCTCATTCAAAATGCTTTTTTCCTAGCACTTAAAACAGAGGACAAATAGTATGCAGAAGAAAGCAAGCTACGCTATCCTTTTGAAAATTATAGAACAAAAAAATTTATCTTAATTTTATTTGCTTCTACTTAAAAGAGTTTACATGGAAGTTTAGTGATGATGATGTCTTTACATAAACAGGAATTAAGGTTTAACCACCAGCGAGGATGATCAGTCACTGGCTGGAATAGGCTGCCCAGAGAGGCTCTATCCTTAGAGCTATTAAAAATCCAAGGGACAAGGCCCTGCATTACCTGTTCTTGTTGGACTAGAGACCTCCAGGCCCCTTCCAACCTCAACTACTCTATGAATCTATGATTTCTTGGTATTGCCAGAGCAAATGTTAAAACAAGTTTTCTTTGCCAAGTTGAAACTTTGTTGTCTTAGTTTGACAGGGGACTAACACGTCATTAAATTCTTTAGTACTCCAAGTACTATCTTGTACAGCTGCAATGTCAACAAAGTCCTTATCCACACAACCAAAGTTTCCTACTAAACCTGAATTTTTCAAGATGCCATTTTTACCTCAAACAGGCTAGCTTTTATTTCTTCATGAAATTTAAATATGCTGATACCAAACCAATCAAAGCATATTAAATACTGACATAAGCATTTATTTTCTTACATAAGAAAATAACATAGTCGGTTGTCAGCTTGGTTGCCAGTAACAGATGTTAGTTAAAACTAATCAGAGACTGACCTGGAATGCATCCAGACATCATTAGCAAGTTAATATGAGTATTACCAGCATGCAGAGATAAAACAAAGACCACTCTGCAAGCTCGGGCTGAAGTCAGAATTCTTGATCCAATTCCAACATTCATGTTCTCCCTCAGGGTACCACAGTGAGTGAAGAGAACAGGAAAGCCTCTCCAACTGATTAATACAGACTTTGCAGTCTTGTGAACTACCTATTCGTTGCTGTGAGAACAAAGTGTAATAGTGCACTCTTTCTGGAGGAAGCAGCCAGCATCATTCTCACCAGGACTCATGTATGCTGAGCATAATAGTTGAGATCATTAACTATACAAGTTTTAAATATAAGACACACATTTAATGGCAATTTCTTTTTTATTTAAAAAAACTTGCAAAGCCAGCTAATGTGAACAGGAAGCTCTTTTTTCTTCTTTTAATAGGAATGCCTGCAAACACATGAAACTGAACAAAACCTGAACACTTTACACACACACAAAAAAAAACAGTCATTTTTTAATTTTATTAAGCTAACCTCAGTAAAAAGTGTTATTTACTAATGCAGGTAGCACTGAAGTTCTTCTATTTGAACCGTTTGTGTGGTCAATCAACCAGCACTTACATTTTTATTTGATGCAAAGTCATGGGACATGGAATTAAAGCAAACTAAAAAAAAAAACCAAACAAAACCAAACCCCAAAGCATTACAACTCCATGCCTTTACACCTTCATGTAA